ATCATGGACAGAGCAGTGGGGAGCAAAGGGATTTAAGCCACCGGCCAAATGTTCAGTTTCATAGTTGGTCGGGTTGGAAGGGACCTGAGTACATCATCATGTCTGACCCCCTGCCACATGCCATCTGCACCCCAGCTGGGTGATTATCCAGCCTCCTTTTGAAGATCCCCAGGGTCGGGGCGAGCACCACTTTCCTTGGAAGTTGGTTCCAGCTCCAAGACGCCCTGGCAGTGAAGTAGCGCCTCCTGATGTCTAGCCTGCATTTACTCAGTCAACTTGTGGCCGTTATTCCTCGTTACTCCCAGTAGTGCTCGGGGGAACAGGGACTCTCCCATTGTCTCCGGGTCCCCTTTCCCCAGTCTGTAGACAGCCACTAGATCCCCCTTCAGCCTTCTCACGCGGAGGCTGAACAGGTTCAGGTCCCGTCGCCTCTCCTCGTAGGGCCTGCCCTGCTGCCCCCTGATCATGTGGGTGGCCTCCTCTGGACCCGCTCCAAGTTGTCCACATCCCTCCTGAAGTGCGGCGCCCAGAACTGGACGCAGTACTCCACCTGCGGCCTGACCAGTGTCACACAGAGGGGGAGGATCACCTCCTTGGCCCTGCTCGAGATACATCTGTGCATGCATGACAAGGTGCGGTTAGCCTCCCTGACTGCGTCGTCACATTGGTGATCCATATTCATTTGGGCATCAATAATGACTCCAAAATCCTTTTCTGCCTCTGCACTGACGAGAAGGGAGTTCCCCAGCCTGTAGGTATGATGCCGGTTCTTCCTTCCTACATGCAGCACCTTTCATAGATTTCATAGATTTCATAGACAACAGGGCTGGAAGGGACCTCGGAAGATCATCGAGTCCAGCCCCCCGCCCAAAGGGCAGGAAGTCAGCTGGGGTCATAGGATCCCAGCAAGATGAGCATCTAGTTTCATCTTGAAGGTGTTCAATGAAGCCCCTCACCAACACCCTGCTCGTAGCCTTTCCATAAAGTGCCCGCACCCGCCCCACGAATTCTCCCAGCATCCCTATCTCTTCCAGGACCCGAAACAGAAACTCACGTCCAATGCTGTCGTACGCCTTTTGCAAGTCAAGGCTCGCCACTAGCGTGTTACACATTCGTTCCGTTTCGCTCCGTGACATACGACAGCGTGTCCCGAAGCACCCAGAGTGCTTGTGTCGTTCGCCGCCCCCCC